TTTTGTTGTTCCATATGAATCTCATCAACATTTTTTCTATTTCTTTGAAGAATGTCATTGAGATTTTTATGGGGATGGCATTAGATCTGTATATTGCTTTTGACAGGATGGCCATTTTGATGATGTTAATTCTCCCATTCTCTCATGGACAATTTTTAACCTTGTTTACACAGTTGTTGCTTAATACACAGCTGTACAACTTTCTCTTAATTTACTCCTTTTTAAAACAAGCACTAATTACTCTCTGCTAACCTTAAATTGACCATTAGCTTTTCTTTAGAGAATCATTGATAATACTGCTAACACAATTTATTACTTCCCTAAGACCCCAATAACTGTTTGCTAACAAGCTCATCTTATCCCAGACCCCTCTTCCCTTGAGTTATAACTAAACATCTGTGCACATGACAATTATCACAAAAATGTATAATTTAGTATAACATAAAATGTGAGAGAAAAATGCTTTGCTCCCCTGTCCTTGGGAACATTTATGATAATTTATGGGATCTATCATTAACTTACCCTATACATTATTGCAATTAACTACTTGTTACACAGTATAAATAAAGACCTGGTGAGGGAATGGGCAGGAAGACTTGCACCCAACTCTGACTCCTGTATCTCCCTGGTGTCCACTCCCTTAACCCCTTTTGGAATCTCCTCTCACCGACGCCTTCCCACCTCATGGCCCTGCCTGTGTTGCTTCCTAACACCTCAGTAGTTGGGGCTGGTCCCCGAAAGATGTAGAACATGATATTTTTAAAAGCTGGGCTTGTCCATTGTGTCAAATGCTGTGGGTATTTAAAAGAAATGCAGGGCATAGTTTGTTTCTTCAAGCTATCTATATTTTGGGGAGTCTAAAGTATGTATAACACATTCAGATTTCTAATGAATTAATGCATACACATGGGACAGTAGGACTCTTTTTCCCTCCTTTGGGTTCCAAACTTTAGAACACAGGGACCTGTGAGGCATGGAGTGTCTGAACAACCTTCCCAAGAGGATTTGGACTCCACTCTTGGTTTTGGACTGAAGCTTCTGACCTGGCTCTCTTTACCACTGGACAGTGCTGTAGGAGAAAGGCAAGGAGGGACAATAGAAGTCTAGAACTCTGAGTCTAGGGCACTTACCATTGTGAGTGTGATTAGTATGATCCAGCCACAGGTGTGTCTCAGGAAAAAGCAAGGTAAGTGAGGGTAAGCATGAATTCTGCTCTTTTTCATCTTATATTCTTTATTTTCCCTTTGCTGACAATTTTATTTTTTGTGGTACAGACACTGTATTAACCTTTATTAGACCACAAAACTACAGCCAAACCAAAGCTTTTATGACTACCTGTTATGACTACCATTGTAACAATTTTCCCTGGGGGGTATTGTAATTCAAAGAAGGGGTATTTCCAAATCCAGGCAGCCAAGAAGAGGGGATTGGGATGCAGACTTAGGTGTGTCTGACTCTCATTCATTGTCTAGCAGGGCTCTCTGTGCTTGCATAGTATAGGAACAGTAGTGGAATCTGGAAGGGGAATTCACCTTGGCCTTTGCTGAGTAGAAAGATCCAGTGAAGTCATATCACATTAAAAGAGAGTCACAGGGCTCATGACTGGCAGGATTTCATGACAGGCCCTAATAGCTAGAGTGGTGTACCTGTGAGTTAGACGTCATTCCTTCTCACCTGTAGAGGTTTTCCTATTACAAAGCCTACTGCTGTGAGTGAATCACTTCTCAGAACTGGACTGGATGGTAAGAGGAGACTGTGCCTTTAGTGCACTGCAAGGAGGGTGAGGGGCTCATTTTGAAGGAGCCATTCATGAGTGTTGTCCTTGGACAGGCCCCTTAACCAGGAGACAGTGACTCTACCTGAAGGTTTGTTAATTTTCATTCCTCACCTGTCACCAACTTCTCTATCAATGGCCCTGAGTGCTGTTAGTAATCTGAGGTGGGGCTCAGACTTTGAGATGTCTGACTTCAAGATCCATTCTCTTCTAGTATGTCCTGAAACATGCAGCTTAAATAGGAGTGATCTTGGAAGAGAAATCCTCAAAGCAGCTTTCTCCTTTTGTCAGAGAATGAAGAGCCTGACAGGGGTCATATCAGGTGTGTGATGTCATATGGAGAATTTCACCACCTCTGTTGGGAGATGCTGGAGATTCTAGGGTGTGTCCATTATCAGTTGCCTGTATCTTTTCTGTCCCCATGCCCATAACACTTGTTGTTCCTCCAGCACTATCTATTGGTGACTGATTCCTTGTGAGTCTCAGGAGATGGAGGGGAATGTTCAGTCCTCAGTTTTGCCTCAAGTACAGGAGCCTTTGGGTTGCAATGGAGAGTGATGGGTTGCAGGGCCAGAGACCCTAATCATGAGGTGATGGTAATGAGAACAGGCCATTTCTCTGTCTTCCTAGGGCTGTCAGTGCTCCTGATGTTGCCTTCAGTTCTGAACGCTAGAGGTGAGTCTCCCCAGCCAGTCCCATTATTGACAACAGGTAAGGAGTGCATCTGGGGATCTGGATACTCTCACTGCAATGTATGGAAAGCAGGCTGATCTGCAACATTCCAAGATAGGCCTCTGGAGATAAGAGAAGCAGTGTGTTGATTCATCTTTAAATGTCCAATTCCTGAGCTCTTCCTTGTTGGATGACAGTCGAACTTTTCTTCTCGCCCCTCTTCTACTCTTGGATCCCAAGCTGGCATCTGGGTCTTATAGTCTTTGGCTCTTCTGACCACAAAATCTGTCCCACAGCCTCTGCAGCCACAGCCTGCGCTCCGTGGTGCCCTCAGAACTCCAAGTGTGTCAGTGCCACCACCTGTCGTTGCCTGCCAGGATTCAGTTCTTTGTCCGGAGAGCTCATCACCAACCCCTTGGAGATCTGTGATGGTAAGGAGATTTGGGGAAGCTGGAGGGGCACATGGTGAGTTTTGAGGATTATTTTGTAGTCTCCTGAGCCTCATTCCTTGATAGATGCATAGAAGCCCTTTGTCAAGGATAGAAGACAGGGGAAAGGTCAGTGAAATTAGAGGGAAATGGGCAGTTGGATTCATGTGCAGTGGGCAGAATGATCAGAGCTTATAAGCCCAGAGGTTGTATGTAGGTCCCCAGTCTAATTCTGTCTGTTACTGACCCTGTGGCACTTTGGAAATTATTTCTCCTCTGTCTTTTTAATTTTTAATTGTTGTGTGAGGATCTCCATGGATGGAATGAGATTCAAAATTCACCTGTGTAACCCAAATATGCAAATACAGATGACTGGATCAAGAAGCTGTGGTATACATACACAATGGAGTACTACTCAGGAATCAAAAAAGATAGAGTCATGCCATTTGCAGCAACATGGATGGAGCCAGAAGAGATTATACTCAGTGAGATAAGCCAGAAGGAGAAAGAAAAATATTGGGTGGCTTATTTATAGAAGAAATATACATCAACCATATAAGGGATCAGGAAAAATTATAATCAATAAAAACCGAACTTCACAAACAACTAAAATGAGAGAAATTCTGTAGGGAAAAGGGAGGGTGAAGGGTGAAAACACAGGAGGAAGAGCACAAGGTACCTTGTTGACCATTCACAGGTGAATTGGTGGTGGAATTTTACATGTATCTTGTATAAAAATATGTTGCATAAAAATGAAGTTGTAAATTATTAAAAATAAATTAATAATTAAAAAAGAGATGTGTAATGAACAGGCAAAGACTAGTGTAGTGAACTATACTATACCACTTTTTACTACTATTGCTATCATTATTTTCATAACACAAAGAAACAGAGAGAATTGTGGCAACAGGAGGAGCCCTCGCCTGGAAGCTTAGCCTCTCATCTATCTCAAGGTCACGGAGAACTGCTGCCCGCTGTCCGTCGTGGCTTCCCACGTCACTCCTCACTTCTGCCCCCTGAGGCAAGGGGGAGAACATTGTTTCAGAATCACTCTAGCTGGGATCAAGGAGTTTGAGTCACTTGTTCAGCCACATAGATAATTTGGTGGTAGAGCCTAGAGCTGAATCTAAGACATATAAGCTTTTATTATTCAACAACATGATTGAAAAAGGTAATTATATTATTTTAAAATAAAAAGGATATAAAACTTTATAACATGAATTTTAGCATAATTAAAAAAAAAAACAGGGAAAGGACACAAAGCAATTCTCTTCACAATTCAAAATACCCTAGCTGCATGTTTATTCATACATCAAAATATTCCTAATATGACAGCAAAGATAAAAATTATGTAGACCTGCATATTGGAAATGCCTCAGAGAGTAAAACTGTAATTTGTTTTTTTTTTTTAAAGATTTATTTATTTGTGCATACAGAGCTGGGGTACAGGCCAGAGGCTCAGGGGCGGTGAGAGGTTTCACCAGAGACAGAGTGGGGAGCAGAACAGGCAGATCTACGAAGTACACTGTTGAGGGGAGCAGCTGGCTGGTCAGGAGAGGTCTGCCACGCCATGTGGTCACCTCCGAGGCAGGCGGGAATCGAATTCATGCGGAAGTGGTTTTAGCTTCTCAGTGCTGTGCTTTAACCCGCTGCGCCACCAGAGAGGGCCTGTAATTTGTTTTCTTCAGAGAATTATATATTAGACCTGTGGGAAAGAATTGCAAGACAGCTGATTAAAAAATGTTTGAAAGATTTAAAATCAACTTTTTTCCTTTTGAAAAGCTTTGTTTGTTATTTATGCATACAACTAGGCTATAGGCCAGAGGCACAGGGGTGGTGAGAGGATTTATTTGAGACATGGGTGGGAGCAGAACATGCAGATTGAAGAAGTACATTGCGGAGGGCATCTGAGTGCGAGGGTGGTCAGAGGTTTGGTGTACCATGTTGGTCACGTCCCTGGCCAGAGATCGAACTCATGCTGAAGTGGCTGCAGCTAGCTTTGTAGGGCTGTGTTCAACCTTTTGGGACCAACATTTTTTCCTTTAAGGAAAAAAACACCCTGAAATATTTCCAGCAGCTTTTATATGATATGCATGTGATTTTATAGTTTTGTTTTTTACATTGTGTTTATCTTCTAACCATCCACATGTTATTTGATATTTGGGGGGGAGGATTGTAGAATTTTAAGGAAAAAATAGATTTCGTGACTACTGCCCAATTAACCCACATCCAGAGGTTTTCCAGAGGGTTCCTTTGTGTACCTAGCTCACTTGTGTTGGTGAGCGTGGACAGAGGTCCTGCACCTAATGAATCCAAGGTTCTTCCTAGGAAAAAACAGCTGGTTGAGGAATTCCCCATCCCAAGGTCTCCCCCCTTTGTCTCATTTTCAAGCTCACCCCACTAAACTCCATCTCATCCTGACAACCTTGAAGGTAGGCTTCCAGCCTTTCCCACCACGTAAGAAGAGAGGAGGAAGTCCTTTGCCCAGGTGATACTGAACACAAACCTCTCAGGTGTGGATCCTTCCCATATCCTAACCTGTCCAGGTGCTGACAGCAGCAGCCTAGACTTAGATGGGAAATCTGCAGGTGAGAATAGAGAGCTCTGATGTGGGGGAGACCAGTTGCCCCCAAGTCCTATCCGCCTCTAAGGTCTTTGGCCCCCTGACTGAAATGCACGGGGCCAGTTTGTCTCCATGCTTGGATTCATTCTTGGTCGTTGTTTTGAGTCAACAGGTTCAGTCCTTGTTATGTGGGTCCCAAAGCTACTTAAAGGGGCCTCTTTAGTGGCAGTCTCTGCTGTTAAATTTAGAATAGGGGAAGAGGTAAGCTGCCAGAAAACACTGTAGACACGCAGTTGGAGAAGCTTCACGTTGCTCCTCATTTCACATCTGATATAGATTCTGCTATGGGGTGACTTCTGCCAGGACTGAGTTAACAAGAGACATCTGGTGCACCTAGAAACCCTGACACTGGCATGTGGGGGCTTCTGATTAGAAGTGAGGTGTGCTTGGACCACTGTGAGTAGGGGGAATTGGAAGCCAGCAATGGGCGTGGGTCTGACCATCTGGTTTCATACTCAGCAGAAGGGATGTGATTGGCCCTTATGCTTGTGAATCCACCTCCTGACTGAGCTTTAAGGGTGGCCTCCATGGCCACTGTTCCCTGGATGGAAACAGTCCTTAGATTCCTGATGAGCAAAAAGATCCCCAGTGGATGGTCTGGAGCCTGAGTCATTGCCTCTCTCAGCCCCACAGGCCTGCAGGGGGCTACAGGCCTCCTTCCAGCCCCTGTCATGATAAAGCAGGGCATCTGTTTTCGTATATGTGGGGCTGAAGTGAGCTTTCATAGCAGAGTGTCTGAATCTAGGTGTCCTCAGGCCCCTCCAGAGAGCAGAGATGTGTGGAGCCATCAGCAGGCTTTCTGTATCCGCTTTTCCAGCCAAGCCAACCTAAGGAGGAGGCTGAATCCATTCTAACCTATGGTGGGGTCAGGCTGGATTTGGGGTCTGCCCTGTGGAAACTCATGATGGTGATCCTTTGTCATGTTGCGTTCCAGACATCAACGAGTGTGGACCACCAGCGACAGTGTCCTGTGGAAAATTTGCAGACTGCCAGAATACGCATGGGAGCTACTACTGCACGTGTGTCCCAGGATATGTGCTCGTGTGTGGGGGAACAATATTCAGGAGTGAGAGTGAGAACACGTGCCAAGGTAAGAGTGACCCCACATTCCATCTCCTCCTCCATGAGACTGGAGGATCCTCAGCCCACTTTCCTCACACACTGGAAGTTACCCGATCCAGCGGCTAACCTGGGCTGCTGCTCGGTCTATGCACCTCTGTGATCCCTCAATTTCAGAGCCCTGCACAGAGTGCCACGTACACAAGTTTGGAGCATGCCCCTTGCCAGGCTGGCATCTTATTTTATAAATGTAAAGTGGGACGGCATTCAAGAGACTTCACAATGTCATGCTGTTTTTTTCTCGTCATCATGTCTGACTGCTGAGAGGAGACTTGATCCCTACTTTGTGTTTATGGGCTCAGCCACACCAGGAGCTTCTGGACCATGATAAGACAAGATTCTCTTTCCAGACATCTGGGAAAGTAGAGATTAGATGGCTGGCCACATCTGGAGACCACACATTTCTTGGCTCACTGACATGACTCCTTGGCTGCTCAGCTTCTATCTCATTCCTCCATGCAAGTTTCTTCCTTGATCTTCTCTGCCATCCCTCCACCCACAACCAATATTCAATTAAGGAGTGCATGAGCAGCTGGGATGACCAGGAGGATGCTGTGTTGC